ATGCAATATGGAAGGATTGCCACACGAATGTGCCGATTTCCTAGGTGTTTTAACAGATACACTGGTCTTTTTGTTGCTGGGTTTGCAGAAAAATTACAAAAAGAAATATGAGCAGAGCAGAGCAAAGTATCCATCCTCCACTGTAAGCACAATAGTTTTTTCAAGCGTTGAAAGCATTTCAATGTATTTGCATGGCTGTACTCTGGAATTGAAAAAAAAAAGTACTTTTATCAGTTAAAGATTTAATGTTAGCAACTAGCATTTTTAAGAAATAAAAGTTTATTTCTTTGAAAGCAATTAACAGGAAAATAAAAGCTGTATTATCATATTTTGCCATTAAGGCATTTGGCCTTATTCAGTAAAGGAAACAAATGCGGAAGTGCTTGTTCTTAAGTGCTAAATGTTAAACGCAACAGCCAGTAGAAAAGCATCATAAATCATCTGGTCTGACTTCAGGACAGTGAAATCCAAAGTGTTTTACATTTAAGTCCTATGGAATATGTTTGATTATGATAGGTCAACTAGTGATGCGTTGGTAAGGACAAAAAAATATATTAATATTTATATAATTGACAATAGTTGGCATTTTAATCACTTTAATATATTAAAATGAAAACGATCTTTTGTGAAGATAGAAATGCAATTTCTGTCCCCATTGAAAATGTACTTACTTTAATATAATTGTCTTTTTTTATATTATTCCCAGAATGCCAGAATGCAAATTGATGTGGCTGAATTGATTATTTTCCTGCAAAATTTGTCAAACTGTGTAGTCTGTGTTTTTATATATATATATATATTTATATATATATATATATATCTATGTGGTATATACTGTATATTATATATATGTGGTATATATACTGTGACTAACACAGTATATATGTATATATCTATGTAGTATATACTGTGATTTTTTATATATATATGTATACACACACAGTATATATGTATATATCTATGTAGTATATACTGTGACTATGTATATATATGTGATATATATTATATATATATATATGTATACACACACAGTATATATGTATATATCTATGTAGTATATACTGTGACTAATTATATATATGTATATATATATATATATATATATGTATACACACAGAGTATATATGTATATATCTATGTAGTATATACTGTGACTAATTATATATATATATATATATATATATATATATATATATATATATATGTATACACACAGAGTATATATATGTATATATCTATGTAGTATATTATCTATGTAGTATATATATATAATATATATGTATGACTATATTATATATATATGTGACTATTAATATATATATATATATATATATATGTATACACACAGAGTATATATGTATATATCTATGTAGTATATACTGTGACTAATTTTATTTATATATATACCGTAGTTTTTTCTTTGCGTTAGCATCAACACAGTAGTACAGGGACTATAGTTACCTGTTCTTTGTTTGCTTCCTCTATTTATGTTCTGTACATTATTAAATAGCTTTTTTATTATCACCCTAAGCAGCCAAACACAAGTCATCTTTCAGTGTCAGTAGAGAGGTAAATTAATCCAATGAAATTACATTGGTTACTAAAAGCTGCTTCACTTTTCATATCTTCATCACTTTTTTGGATGGATTGACTTAATAAATAAGCCCACAAAAAATGAAATTTTTTTTGTTACCCTAACTTGTTGTTTTTAAAAACGGGGTCATAATTAGTATCGGAGGAAATTTTTATTTTATTTTCAATACCCCTGAACCTATTTTAGAGTGAATATTTTCATAGTAAATCAGCCCTATACTGTACAAGCTTAAAAAAAATCTGGGCCTATACTTTCTAAAGAAAATCAATAATCTAAACCGTCTACTTTGACTTGCTGTTTTAAAGTTACCTGCTTTAAATGATCATACGTAATACACCCATTTATAAAATATGTCACATTTGGTGCAGATGTTTTCCATGTGAACAAGTTGCTATAAGGTTCTGGGTTTTTTTTACAATATGCCTGATCAAAATAAATATAAAGCATGAACAATATGTGGTCATTCATACATTACACAAAAAAAATACCTTCACAGAAATAAACTTTCACAAAATAAATTTACCTCTTTTATTCTGATATATATGATAGTTACAGAGAAGTACAAATTACTTACAATTATTATACAGATAATATCAGAAAAGATTTTACATTCAATATTTACATATATATAAAGTGACTTATTGTGGGTTATTTTTGCTTTAATTTTTTTCTCATAGAACACTGTTTTGTGAAAATGCTGTGTACTATAATATATATATATATATTATATATATGTATATATATATATATATATATATATACACACACACACTGTGTGTATGTGTATATATATATATATATATATATATATACATACATATATACTGTGTATGTATTTTTTATATTTATATATATATATATATATATATATATATACATACACTGTGTATATATATATATATATATAGTTGTATAATTTTAAGGTATTCATATATATATTTAAAGGGGTTTATTTATTTTAGATATGTTTTATTATTTTATTATATTGTATTCAGAATTATTTATATATATATCTTTTATACAAAAGGCCTCACCACTGCAAGCTAAAAATGCATTATTTGTGTCAAAAAAGGGTTTATATAATTGGCATAAAGTAGTAAATGGTTCGTTTACCCAATTGAGGGCTGTTTTTATTGAAATGTAGAAATTTTTATTTTTAACCCCTTAAAGACTACCACTTTGACAGAAAATGGTTCATACAGGTGCTTTCCATTTTGTATTGAAAAATTGTGGATGTCACCGATTAATTAGCAATCAAGCATAATACAGCTATTTAGGATTTAATTTTGTACTGTGATTATCAGCAACCCTTTTAGACATTACTGGTATGGTTACAAGGTATGGTGAAAAGTAAATGGTAGAAAACATAGAGAAGAGGTGATATCTCTTCCACAAAGGGCAATGGTATAAGGTTAGATTGCAATTAAGCCATTTTTTTTCTGTTAAACTATAATCAAGAGAACCTTAGGGTATAATCTTTCGCAATTTTCAAGTTTCAACATACAAAATGGCAACTGTTAATATTTTACATATTAATGTTCGTTTGCAGATAAAGATTAATGCTGGCTTTATAATTTTTTTAGTTGTGGCTACCTGTATATGAAGAGTTAGAGAATTCCTCGTTGATGTTTTTTTTACTGTGTAGAAAAATTTTGTCAGAATTTTGGGTACAGAAGTTTTGATAGAAAAATAACGCACGGTGCGCAAATTCAGGCCTCCGTGCCAGAAGTTCTTTTATTTTAGTTTTTTTTAATGATGGCCATCTCCAAAGAATAAGTGAAGATGTGGTGGGACTGCAGGTATTATTGGCAAGCCATGTGGAGAATTAACACAAAAGTTGTGGGATGTTTAGTGTTTTGTGGGATCTATTTATTGATAGTAAAATTAGATTTTATTTGGGCCATGGATCAACGCTATGTTTGGAGGAGGAAGAACAATTATTATCATATTGAAAAAAGAACTTTTGCCTACTTGAAGCATGGTGGATGGGTCATATCATGTTCTTTTGGGGAAATTTTGCTTCTGCAGGTACAGGGAAGCTTCAGCGTGTGCAAGGTACCATGAATTCTCTTCAGTACCAGGAGATTATTGGATGGGAAACGTGATGCAGTCCGTCACACACCTGAGGCTTTTTAGATTTCTTTTTTTCAACAGGACAATGATTATTTTTTAAGCATACCTTTAGTCCACTAGAGCATGGTTGCAGAGGAAAGGCTGGAACATTTTGGAGTGGCCATCGCAGAACCAGACTTTAATCCGATTGAGAACCTCTGGTGGGACTTTAAAGAAAGCAGTTGCAGTGCGCAAGCCTAAGAATGTGACTGAATGGAGGCCTTTGCCCATGAAGAATGGGCGAAGATACCCGTAGATCGCTGCAAGACACTTGTGTTCAGCTATGCTTCACGTTTATAAAAGCTGTTATAACTGTAAAAAGGATGCTGTACTAAGTACTAAGATTGAATGTCACTTGGGGGTTGAATAAAATGATAATGCTGTGAGCACAGAAAAGACATTTTGGTTATTTCATTATAATGTTATGTTATATTTGTCTGATACAAGTGCCCTGTATATATTTTATATACGGTATATATTTTAGAGGTATTATATATATATTTAAATTCTTTATTTTATAGATATGTATATATATTTATATATTTATTAGATATTTATATACTCTTTTATACAAAAGGCCTCACCACCTGCAAGCAGAAAATGCTTATTTGTGTCGGGTTTTGATGCTTTGTTGGCATAAAGGTAGTAAAGGCCTCGTTTACCCAATTGAGGGCTGTTTTAGAAATGTAGAAATGTTATTTTTAGCACATACAAGGTGTTAAGACAAAAATGGTCACCCCAGTAATTTTGTAGTACCCATGTTTATAAGAGAACATAGCATCCTACAGCTATTTAGAGATGTTTGTACTGCATGCCTTGGCACCCATTACATTATATCTTGCAAGGTATGCAATTTAAAGTAAATTTAGAAAATCAACTTGGCTCATATGATACCTAACAAAGCAATTGTATTTTGGTTACGATGAACCAAACAAGCCATTTTGTCTGCTGAACTACTTTATCAAAAATCAGCAAGCCAGAAATAGAGGTCTCCTTTCCCATGCATGTTGTGTCAACATACAAAATGGCAACAGTTATATATCAATACATGATTATGTTCTTTTTTTGCATGATTAACTGGTGGGCTTTTTTAGTTGGGTATCTATCTGTATGAATGTACTTTTTAACTTCAAACTCTCATGATGTTTTTGGTACTGTGTAAAAAAACTTGTGGAAGTTAGGTAGAAGTAAGTTTGAGCTACAAAAATAAAAACGGTGGTGCAAACCACCTCAGTCCAAGGATCAGCCTATAAGGTGTCTCTTTTTTTTAGTTTTTTTGTAATGATGGCCATCTTCACAAGACCATAGTGGGGATGTGGTGGGCAAGAGAGGCTGGGTGTGGCACTGGCAGGGTTGGAGAATGAACCTGCAAGGAGCCGTTTGGTGGACGATGCCTTGCACTCTTCTGGTGGGCTCTCAGGCCAGCTAGCTGTGAGTAGGCGCTTTGGCAGACTTGGCATTTGTAAGGGCGCTCCCCGGTGTGCAGTCGGACATGGTTGCGTAAGGTGGAAGATTGGCTGAAGCGGCGGTTGCAAAAACGGCATACGAAGGGTTTGTCCAGTGTGTGGATTCTCATGTGTGAGCGTAAATTGCTGCGCGAGTTGAAGCCTCGGTGACAGATGACGCAGCGCATTCGACCACTCAGGGTTGGTCCAGCAGTATCAATGCCACCAAAATCATCTAGGGAAGAAAAAATTACTTTCAGTTATTTGGCCTTTTCTAGGGTTAATTTTGTTTTATCACTTCGGGTATACAAAAAAATTTAAAACATACAAAATGAAACCAAAGCTGCATTCAAGACTTTTCTGACTCTACAGTTTAAACAGGCCAAAAAAAATGTGGTACCTGCACCCAAACTAAAATCTAAAAAAAAAAAAAAAAAAAAAGAAAGAGGATGTAGTTAACGACATTGGCTGTTAAACATAAAAGTAATGGTACTTTTTAGGTAACAGAGACAGCTCGTTTGCTTTATTCAAGATGTGGGAAGGTCACTAAGCCAATTAAAATACATAGTAATCTGCAGGGAAATATAAAAACTAGGACTTTCCCTGCACATGACTGGATGGTTAAAGTCAGCACAGCTAAGTGAACTTTCTACTCCTTTAACTAGAGAAGATATTCAGATTACAGCCATCATTCTTATGGTACAAGGCATAAATCTAGATAAAAAAATTTAACTCATTGAGATAGGAAACACATTTATGTTTTTTCTCCTTTCACTTTTTCTAGATTGGGGTTTTCTATACAGTATTTAAGTGCAAGTTCTAAACTACGTGTGAAACAAGCGCAGAGATATTGTTTCCATGTTCTTAGATTGTAAGCTCCAAGAAGCAGGGCCCTCCTAACCCTTTTGTATTGAACTGTATTGTTGCTGTATTGTCTCCTGTTATATTGTAAAGCGCTGAGCAAACTGTTGGCGCTATATAAATCCTGTATAATAATAATTAATTATTATTATTATGCAGTATTTATAAAGCGCCAATGGTTCGCTCAGCGCTGTACATTACAAAGGGGGACAGAACATGTGACAGAACAATACCAATACAATGCAAAACATGAGGGGATCGAGGGCCCTGCTCTTTCGAGCTTACAATCTAATAATAATCTAATCTAATAATAATGTTCTAGTAACTTACCATGCTTACTTTTTTTTTTTGTTCCTCTTCGATTCCAGGGACTCCGGGAATGCCAAGGAAGCTGTTTTGTGAGTTGCTATACCATACCAAAAGTTCTTGGTCTGGAGGGATTGTCTGTAAACAAAGCACATAGGAACACTCAGTTAAAATACATTGCAATATCAAAACCCAAAATGTGAGATTTTTTTACATTTTGAAAACAGGACTGACCAACCAAAATCTAGTATTCTGGCCATAATTTGCAGGTTGCCTAATTGTAAATACATAGTTTTGCTTAAGTGACCATTTTTTGGCCTGTCTGGACTTAACAGGTGTCACCTATGCTCACTTTAAAAGTGTACAAAGTTTTTTTTTTTTAAAAAAAAAAGAAACACATTTATTCTTTTTAATCAAATTTTTTCCTTTATTTCATATTATATATTGACGTGGGCTATGGAAAATAAAAAAGGGTGACAAACAAGTGAATTGATTGTGGAGGTTGGGGCTTAGTCTTACTCTCCTCTAGCTGTCTTGGTACACCACAAAACAAAAAGGCCATCTAATTAATGTGAAGATCCTTTTGTATCTTACTTACACTGCACATTTGCAAACTTTACAAAAAACTGGGTGTTGAACCGTACAACACTCCAGTAGAGAGTTACGAAAACTGGAGCCTGCAAAATCTGGTGCAGCTCTACATAGAAACCAATCAGCTCTCAGGTTTTATTGTCAAAGCTTAATTGAACAAGCTGAAGTTAGAAGCTGATAGGCCACCATGCACAGCTGCACTAGATTCTGAGCGCATTAGTTTTAGTAAATCTTCCCCACCATATAACGTCTGATTATTTCAGACTTGACCACTCATTAGCATCTTAGGTAAATTTCGCAACTCTTATTTTTGTAGACATCTTATATTTTCTGACTTTTATTTCAGCCTACTTTAAGCTGGACCAAGGAGCCCACTTGTGACAAGGGGCACACCCCAAAATGTACCAGTGCTGAAACCAATCTTTCTGCTCTGGTTAATTGCTGAGCAGTAATGAGCACTTGTGTATGCCAGATCTGCTTGTCTCCTCTGGTGTGGAATAGGAACAAAAGTTGTTGTGGGACGCAGTAATCATGGCAATTGGGACAAATACAGATAAATCTTCATCCTGTGGTCGCCCGTGTCAAGCAATCTCACAGTTCTGAGCCACACATACATAGACAAAATACTTCCTTAGATGCAAGAAAAAATTACTATCTCTCGTAACTCTCCCTTGGCTCATCTAAATAATTTCTAAACTTCTAAACTCAAGACTTGTTCTATACCTCTGGCACCAACCAAAGCTGTTTTTGTTCTTCTAAATGTCATCCATAATGCCATAGATTGCCAATGTTCTAGTGAACATCATGGGCGCTACAGTTTTTCTATAGTAGCATGTATAATATTCGGTGACTACATAGCAACTTGGAAATAATAGAGCACTGCAACATGCAAAGTGCTCAAGATGCTCGTAGTATTATGTAGATGAGCTCTTCGGATGTGTAGGAAGGCCTCTGAGTATCTTTGTATAGAAGAACTCTGTCTTTCTCTTTCTTTCTGCTTTTTCCATAACCTCTGAAATTAGTGTGTGTATTGATTCTCCTTGCCTGTAAAGCTGGGTGTCTCCTTTGACTTCCAGTTGTCAGCTCCTTGGTTACCAAGGACACCCCTGAATGGGAGGGTTATTTAACATGCTTTTATTAAACAAACAAACCAAGATAAAAAAAAGGCAGTGAATAGCAAGTCTGTGCTTTCGGCTGCTTGTGTATCTCATGTTGGTGGTGACCTTGAGCCAAGCACGGCATGCCCCATAGAGCAGAAGCCATATTGTTCTGGAGTCAGATGAGATGCCTCGATTTTTTGTGCCTGAGGTTAAAGTATCTCTCCACCTTTTTTGGCAAATATGACCGCGCCAAACCAACTTTGTAAAGTATACTGATTGCCTGTCTTGTTCAATACCATTTACATGTGCTTTAACCCAACTCCTAACTTGCTTGCCACTATGTGGGTCTTTCACAAACTTGCTTCAGGTGGTCTATACAAAATGTAAAACTGGCCCATTGGCATCATTGAGTTGAAGAGCACGTTCAAGCATGAGTAACTCGTAATTCTGACAGGAAGGTGGTGCTTAACTTAAAAGAACATTGGCCCCTAAATTGATATTTATATTGTATAGGGGCATTGAAGGGTGGGCTTATACTATCACATGGATAGAAAATTGATGATCTACTGTTGAAACTGTTGTGTAGGGGCTTGTCCACCACCACCCTCACTCCCCCTAGAGGCCATAGCAGAACTATTTCTTTCTGCATAATTCCTTAGTTATTTGTGGATTTTACAATTTGGAACATCCATTGGTGGCATATGACAGCATCATATGTCTTTGTAGTGGTAACAGCAGTTGGGCAGATTTGGAGATTTGAATGATGTATCTTGCCACTGTGCCTGTCCTAAAAGCAAGACCATCGCTAAGTGTGATCTACAGCAAAATTACTAGGGGTCCCTTGTCTTTCTAATCTCCATTTAAAAGCAATTCTTCTATTGTTACAGAAGACAATTATCAAAATGTATCCATTAAATTAATCTAAAGGTATTTGCCAAATGCTTTTGTTTGCTGCATAAATAGCTGGGTAACCACAGAGCTCTGGGTTCCATAGCAGTACTGCAGTTTGCTATAGCTACAGTTATGCCGTGGCCTGAGAGGTGTAGAAAGACAATGTTCAGCATATCTTTAGTACATTGTATTAAAAATACAGCTTTTTGGGTTTTAGAACAAAAATAAAAGCAACATTTTGGGGAAAGGGAAAATCAGGGCTTTGAGCCTTTTACTACATTGCCATCTTGTTTGCTTGCACATTGTCCAGGGCATAGCCATCTTTACAACTAAGGAACTGCAGCTACCCTGTCAATATCAGCCCTCACCCCAAAAAGGACAGATAACAAAAAAGTGTCATCTCCTGTCAAAAGCAAATCACAAAATGGCAGGTTAGCGGGAAGTCTTTTATTAGCTAACTGATATTTACAGACACCGCTTCATTCAAGGCTCTTTTTAAAGCATATATGAAGAGGACGTCTCCAAACATCACTTAGTCCGCTAGCTATTCACTGTACCTTGCTATTTGTTAGATGTCAAATTGATTTTTCTTTTCTCCTAGAAAAGAAGGTAACCTTTCTGAAGAGCGATGAGATGACGGGGGGATGCTATTGTTGGCTCTACAAAACTGCTCATACATTTGTCATTTAAGCACAGAGTGCCATTACCAGTCCTCAAGGCTGTGTGGCAGGTTCCAGTTAAAGGATTACTCTGCTTTTCACACAGCTGAGCCAATCTAAAGAACAGAGCAATAAGCAATAACACCTGTGCTCAAGAAAAGAGGTCCTTGAATTGCAGCCAATGGGCAATTGTAAAGGGCTTCAGTTTTAGGTGACTTCTGTTTTGTGGGTAAAAAAATGTACCAACACTAAGCCGAACTGAAATGATTTAATTTAAAGTAGCCATCCCTAATTAGACATAACATTTAGCTTAGATCATTTTGATATACTTATGCTCACATAATGTAAAATTTAAATGATCTCCTTATTGATTTTAGGGATTTTTTAAATTGAATAAAGTACATGCTTTTGACAAACTGCAGTCCACTGATTACTGTCTCTGCCCCACCTACCAAATGACTATCTGCATCAAGTGAAAAATGTAGAGAGGCAAGGAATGGAATAGGTTCATATGATCAACTATAATTTATAATGAGTCATGTGGTCATCAACTGTCACCAAGTCCTAATCAGGCTCCCCTCCAGAGGCTTGAAAGTTGATAATGCTAGCATAGTCAGGAAAATGTGAAACATGTTAGGTGGCCCTATAATGAAGCAATAAACAATTTGATTTTGATGTCTACAAAGACATCACAAAGGACATCTGTGTCCAGAGCTTCCAATAGGACATCAATATTCAAGACCAGTGTTTCTCAACCATTTTTAAGTCAAGGCACCCTTTAAAAGTATGGACAATGTTAAGGCACCCTCTAACATTATGGACAGTCCCGAGGCACCCTTTACAACTTTGGACAGTCTTGAGGCACCCCATTCTAAAATGTGGAAAACTATTCTAATAGTTTATATAACGCAGGCAACTGACATCCTCCTTATCAACTGATGATGTCATTGGTTGTCAGGATGCGAGCGGCTAGAAGGTTGTAATGGTGCACAATGAAAACCTGTGGCTTTGTGTAACTAAAAGGCAGGTTTGTTCCACCTGCTGGCTTACATACAAGTTGTAGGTAGTTTTTAGACATTTTGCCAAGGTACCCCTGAAAAAACCTCAAGGCACCCCAGGGTGCCTGGGCATCCTGGTTGAAAAAGGCTGTTCTAGACATAGGTCACAGCTATGGCTTTTAAGCAGAAATTACAAGTTCACCCAACCTATTTAATTTATTCTCAAGCTTTTGTTCTCCTATCTGATTTCCACCCATCACTGATCTGTATGACGTTGCACTCCCTTACCTCTATCGCCTTGTAGAAGATGCTATTGCCAATCTGTACCACCTCCAAGTTCTGTTCTTGCTCATTGCGGGCACACTTGATATAAGTCATCCAGCTACGGTGGTCTTCTTGGCTGGCATCAATAAAATAACGCACTGTGCTATCTTCATTGAACACCTGTGACAATATAAGAATATTTGTTTGAAAAAAAGTTGCAATGGCATCCTGGTACTTGTCAAAACTGGTATGGAAAGGAAAAAGCCTTCTGGTCATGATACTCAGTTCTACATTTTATGCCGGATGCTGGAATCCTAAACAGGATACCATATCCATAGACAGAAAAAATATGGTAAAAAGCAGAAATCTTGAGCTTCATGTTTATAATATATATATATATATATATATATATATATATATGAACCTAGCTAGCTAGCTTTCTATCCATTCATCTCATATCTATCTGTCTATCTATCTATCTGGCTAGCTAGCTATAACAATGTATGACTGTTCATCTAACTTATCTATCTATCTATCTATCTATCTATCTATCTATATCTATCTCTATATCTATCTATCTATCTATCTATATATCTATATATCTATCTATCTATCTATCTATCTATCTATCCATCTATCAACTTTGCAATATAGAGTAAAGCCTACAGTCTCTTTTTATTTTGTAATTGTTTTAAAATTATGTATCATCTGATTAGAGGAGAAAACAATATAAGCATTATAACTTAAAAAAGAAATAAATTAGGCTTTAATCTTCATACTTTACTCTGTAATGCTGTAGGTCATATTTGAATGGAATGTGCAAATAGGTAGCAATTAAAGTAACCACTTTAACCCGTTGTGCTCAAAGAAAGACTGTAGTGCATTAAAGTGCAATGCATATATGACCTCTCCCAACTTAATTGAGTCCTAATTGAAGTCATTGAATGATGCTTCCATTTCAATTGTCAAAACAATGACATCGCACTGAAGAAAAAAAACTCCTTTTCGGTTTTTCACTTTCTTTTCTTTTCCTTTCCACATGGCTTTCTTCAGTGAAAAGCACAAACAGTACCATCATATTGAAAATGCCTAACAAAGAATATAAAGCATTTGCAGATCATTCACAATTTAATTTTTAAACATATTGTTAAAGAGTTTCAAAAATCTATTTTTGCAATTAGTATGTTTTCCTTCATATGGCCTAAACACAAGATTGATTCATTTTCCAGAAACATTAAATCATTGATTTAATAATGGAAGAAAATAAATAGGAAGGTAAATGTGGTATAACAGGTATTTGGACTGGGCAGCTTCAGGTTATCAGAGGAAGCTTATGGTACCACAAGAAGTGGCAAATTATGGATCCTTGCAGCAGACGTCGAAAACATTAATGGGGTTATTTACTAAAACTGGAGAGTGTAAAATCTGGGGCAGTTCTGCGTAGAAACCAATCAGCTTCCAGGGTTTATTGTCAAAGCTTAATTGAACAAGCTGAAGTTAGAAGCTGATGCACAGCTGCACCAGATTCTGAGTGCTCCAGTTTTAGTAAACCCCCCCACAATATAAGTTTCCCTTCTGACAAATTTGATAGTATGGAATAGTGTCACAAAATGAATGATTACATCATAAAAATGAATATAATTAGCATTCATGGTGATGGCACTGTTATGTTTCACATGTATTATATAAGTGATAAAGATAGCAGGTTCTTCTATTTTTCCACACCTTTTTATAGAAGGGTAAGACTTTGAGATTCTGCAACTCTTCATTTTGAATTGCCTGTAGGCTGGACAGATGCACGTCAGACCTTATCAACTATCTTTACTATCTCCTGATCAGGAGGGAAATAGTTCCTCTTAAGATGCAATCCGTTTACACAAAGGCTTTAACTGGCCCCTTGAAGCCCTCAATCACTTTGGGAGCTTCTCAAACACCAAAACAGCGGTTAGACATTTAGACTTCCAAGGGGTCCCTTTAACCCAGCCACCCTGACATCATCCCAAATGGATCAGTAATGTGAAATGTCCATGGTGTGGTGTCAATTAATGTCATTAATCTTGGAGCCCACTGTATTCATGGCTAGTGTATCCAGTTAATCTCATTCAATTAGGAGCTCCCCTTGGGGGGCATCTCTGGCTTATCTATGCCCTGAAGAAAGTTAGATAAAGAGATATGCACCTAGTTACACAAACCTATGTTCCTAACCTGTTAAAGGTGTAAAAGGGGTAAAGGACACAGCAATCTAGAATGCAAATAATCTCTAGCATTGATGAAGAACCACATGTACCAGCATGGTACCTGTATTCCATGTGGGTCATTGTATAAGGTGATTTCACCTAAGATGAAAAAAAAATGCTGTTGAGCTGGTAAGGAACCATAATTCCCAGCTTGCACTGGTCAGTGTTTTGTTTGGTAGAAGGTGACTGGTCTTGTGAATCTTAGGCAGGGGCGGACTGACCATTTGGAAACTTGGGCACTGCCCGAGGGCCCGGGGTCAGTAGGGGGCCCCATGAGATGCCCCTGGTACCTTTTTTATAGGCTTTTTTGAGTTTGGGCAAGGACACAGGGGCCCCATGATCCCCTATTGCCCAGGGGCCCCATGAGTTGTCAGTCCGCCCCTGATCTTAGGATGCACTTTTGGCTTCCAACAGTTTAGAAAACAGAATTCCTCCACCTATTACCAACCTTTTTTTAGCAGGGCATGCTGAGAATTGTAGTTCTTCAACAGAGGTAGACCACAAGGGGCAATAATTTAAGAGTCCCTAAGTATATATTCATGTCATACAAAGCCAAGGAAATGCAAGCTCAAGCCTACACAGCCATAATCCAGCTGCAAAGGCATGCTGAGACTTATGGTTCTTAAAGTACTGGATGGCTTCAATGCTCTATATATAGAAAAAGTGCCTTCCAGCATACAACTGTGTCCTTCAGCTGAGAGGGAACACCTGCACACCTGTGACCGGAAAAAACATGCTGGGACTTATGGTTCCTCTATGGCTGTAGGGAGCTTGTCATGACTTACACCTTAATCATAACAGAAGTAAATTACTACAGTGTCCTTACCTCCCACATCAGGTTGTTGTTCTTGCACAGGTCCACATGCTCCGGAGAGATGACTCTGCCAGTGAACGGCCCCATCTCAGTCCCGGCCTTAATCCAAGTCTTGGAGAAGATGCCAAGTCCCTCACCTGGGATGGAGCTCTGAGCAATGATGACTTCTGAAGGCAGGACCAGGCTGGAAAGCTTCTGCACCTCTGCAGGAAACATGGACATAGAAATGGTCCATAAGCTCTGGTACAACAGGTATTTCATATACTGGAGCATTAGAAGGACTAGACTAAGGATAGGAAATAGGTAACCTATGAGCTTCTCAAGAAGAAGACCAGGCAACATTTATTTATATGTATGTATATATATATATATATATATATATATATATATATATATTACACACACACACATATATATTAGAATAGAAATGAACATCAGGAACAAGAGAAATGGAGAGATGCAACTGTGAGATTTTGAAACAAGGTGCTCTCTTGATATTCCAGAATCCTCGTCTTGGTCTACCATGAAGACCAGGCAACATTATATACATATATACATATATATATATATATATATATATATATATATATAATTTTTATATAGAGACTGAGACTGGGGACACGAGGAATATAATAAACTCTAGTGGAGGTGTTCTCTCATTCTTCCAGCATCCATATCTTGACCTAACATGAAGAACACCAGGCAACTTTTTATATATATATATGTAAATTATATATTAGATGAAGACTGAGTGAGGATAACATCGGGTATACGAGGTATCAAGATTTTGGAACAAAGCTTCTTGCACCCATGTCTTGATCTACCATGAAGAAGAACAGGGAACCTTCAGGATCTAAAGATTTTGAAACAAGGTGTTCCTTCTTTATTCCAACGCCCCTGTCTTGATCTACCATGAGGAAGACCACCCAACCTTCAAGATCTGAAAATGTTGGAACAAGTTGTTCTTACATTATTCGAACACCCATATCTTGATCTACCTACATCTCATAAGTCGGGGGTAATGTTTTAAAATTGTACCGGCCACCTGAAATCCCCCATTTCTACTAAAGAGAGAGCTCAAAACTTCTCTAAAATCGGTGCCAGTTCCTCCCTCTAAAAGCGCAATACTCCATAGGGTTCTATTAATAAATCACTCAGTATTCACACAACTGTCACCCAGGATTCACACATATTCTACTGGAATCCTATTAAGAAAATACTTGACTCTTGAGTGAAATAATTTATCATTAGACCCCCATTGTTTTGCTAGGTAGTCAATTAAATATTTCAAGTGGCAAACATTATACAAATTATAACTGCAAGGTTAATGTACAGTAAAGGGGCTATTAACGAATATATTAATTTAAATCATAAAACATTGGAGCTTATTTTCAATGAATGTCTATTCAATATATGTACCTATACATATAGAGAGAGAGAAGGAGTGAGAGAGAGAATATATATATATATATATATATATTTGATTGCAACAGTTACAGTTGATTGCAACATATATATATATATATATATATATATATATATATATATATATATATATATATATATACATACACATACACAGTTGATTACACCACAGAGTATATATGTATACATACAGTAGATTACAACATGGAATATATAGATATATATGTATAGATTAGAACATGGAATATATATATATATATATATATATATTTTTTTTTTTTTTTTATTACAACATAGAACATGAACAGATGATTACTACGTAGAATATATGTGTATATATAGTTGATTACTGCGTAGAATATATATGTATATACACAGTTAATTACATTCTAGAATATATATGTATATACACAGTTAATTACAACGTGGAATATATATATGTATATATACAGTTGATTACAACATGGAATATATATGTATATATACAGTTGATTGCTGTGTAGAATATATATGTATATAAACAGTTAATTACATCATAGAATACATATTTATATACAAATCATAGAATGTACATGTATATACACATCACAGAATATATATGTATATGCACAGTTGACTGCAACCTTGCTCAGATGTCAGTGTTCACACACTGCAGGCAGCAGAATTCGTCGCAACTGCGAACTCAGCGAACTGTGCGCAATTGTGAAGAGTTCTGAGAAAGTGACTTTTTTAAAGGAGAACTTTTTTTTTCTTAACACGGTACCTGCGATAGAAAAAGAGGGATTGGTGGTATTTGTTCTCTAGACAGAGGTTAAATAGTGTCCCCCATCTATCCGTCCAGCAATTTGTCACACTGTTAAAGTGATAGGCATTCATTTAAACTCAACTAGAAAGAAATGGCTAATTCTAAATTCATTAGCCTGTATGAATGGTGTAGCTATACATTGATGCATCATGTAGTGAGGGGCAGCTATAAAGGCTGGAGGAATTTCTGGAACAAAATGGGGGGATTAGCTGCTTGACATAATCTGAATGGAAATGGAATTAGCGTTCATGGCAAATTAGGGAAGAAACATCGCTGATAAAGGTGGGGGGGTGATAATGCCTTTTCCACGGATGCCAACAGAAGGGAGGTATATTGTGCCAAGATTGATGAATGAGGACTAAAAACTTGCGACATAATAAAAGAAAAGTCTCTTTTTTTAAAGGGTCTCTTTTTTTTGTTGAAAAAAGTTGGTTTAAGTGAGAACTTTTCTCAGGTCAACCCCAAGTTAACTAAATGAATTTAAGGCTTTTTTTTTTTTTTAGGGGGCCAAGTCTGGCTCTTTATTACAAGCCTGGGGAGGAGGGGGGTAGGAATTGAGGAAAGTCAGAATGGATTTGTGGTGAAGAAGAGAAAACGTGAAGGCACAAGAGAATGGGATTTCAGGGCAGATTGGTAAAGCCGACACTTTGAAGGGAGAAGAAAACAGCTGAAGTTTGTGTCGGGTGATGCCCAGACAGAGGGCTGTGAGAAAGTTGGGGAGGAATTCCTAGCTGGATCCTAAAGGGGGGACATTCTTACAATGCACACAATTATTTATTGCACAGGGGAGCTATAGGAATGAAGAAAAAAAAAAAAAGAAAATGGGTGAGGATTTCATCAAGGGTTAACCATGGCTGTATAGAAGCAAAGTAACCATGAAAGAACAAAAAATGCAAAAGAAGCCAGAGAAAAAGTGTAAAGAATTATGAAAGAGTGGTTAAATAAATGACTGAGGGTTGGAGGACTAAAAGTCGCAGCTGGTGGGTCAGATCCAAGGTAGGTTGGGTAGGCTGAGCACACGGTGATGGTTGGTTGGTTGGTTGATGGGTGGTTGGGTGAAGTCGGTGTACTCACCTCCAGAGAAGGACTGTGCCAGGACCTCAGCTGTGAAGGCAGTTTTTGGACTGCTGTGGTTGTTCTTCTCTTCAAAAAGTTGCTCACCAAGGACGTTCCTCCAGCGCCCATAGAGGAAGCTGTGTAGGATATCAGAGGTGATCATCTCAGCCAAGGACAAGGTGGGCTTGTTCAACCCACCCTTCAGCACCAGGGCTTCCGCAGGGAGCACCGAGCCCATCATGGATCTGCTGGCACTTGATGACAACCTACAAGCCACAAGAGGACTGCTTGCCCGAGCTTCTGGTGGGGTATGTGCTGTGTGGAGCCCACTAGGCACACTCTACCTCTTCCAAAAGAGAAGACTTGCCAGAATTCTTCCAGCCAAAGCCCTACCCTCTTTATAAGGGCCCGAATGACCCTCCTAATTGGTTATTAATGACCTCCCTGACGTTGTAAGATAGACTTGTTCTAAAGGAGGAAAAAAAAAGAGAGAGAGAGCCAAACCTTCAGAGAGCCCCCTCCCTTTGGGAGACAGCAAGATAAAGAGCAGAGAGAAGGAGAGGGGTGGGAGGAGATGGTGGGGGAGACAGGCTCACTTCCCACCATCAACCCACCAGTGGAGGAGAAGGAGCTGCCTCTGTCACCTGCTCCACAATACCTAGGACTGTGCCCAAAGCTGCCTGACAGTCCCTCAGTACCCAAGAGGGGGTTCTGGTGCTGGGACTGGGTGGGTGCCACATCCTGGAATGAAAAGCTGCTGTCAAAGTGTAGACTTCAAATATCTGCATCCTTAGTGTGCGAATAAAGACACAAGAGTCGCAATGATAGGACCCTTTAAAAGTGTATTCAGTATGACTTGTGGTGTGTATATATATATATATATATATATATAAATAAACATTTTTATTTTCTTCTATATATAATTTTTATTTTATGTTTTATATATATATATATATATATATATATATATATATATATATATATATATATATAATTTTTGGTTGTGTTTTAAATTTTAGTCTATATATATATATATATATATATATATATATATATATATATATATATAAATTAATTTATTATATATATATATAAAATTCTACATATATATTTTCATTTATGATATATATATATATATATATATATATATATACACACACCTATTTATTTTTATATATATATATATATATATATATATATATATATTTATTTTATATATATATATATATATATATATACACACACATATATATACAAACACCCAAAAAAAGCCCCACAAACGCACATCACATTTTTTTTTACTATGTTATTGTTATTTTATACTTTTTATTGTTATTGTTGCTGCTTTATGCTTTTTTTTTAATTGAGTCATTTTACAGGTGCAATTATTTTTTATGTAAATGTCATTATTCCTACAATTGTGTTATTTTTTAATGTTTCTGCTTTGTTTCTTTTTTATCGTCTCATTTTACAGTGTGTAATTCTCTTTTGTGTTATTATTGCTTATTGCGTTATTTGTTATTGTTGTTACTTCAATTATAGTTGTTGATTGCCTTTTATTTTCGTTACATTCTGCTACACGCAAGACACTTCGTTTCCAGTTTTCGTACCGTATCGAATCCTAGAAAATGGTACTGATTTCTGTTCGCATGTGTCATCAAACGAATCAATGCGTTCAATTCCCAAAAATAAAAGAGTGCCGGTGTTGTGTGGCGCACCTGAACGCGTCAGTCGGCAGCTGGATCCGGGCGCTGGGAATGCTCTGCTTTTGTTTCACTTTAATCAGCCCAGACGAACATTCCCCGGCCAGGGCTTTTGTCGGGTGGAGAAGAGGTGGATTGGAATCGCTGTTTTGTTAGGGGGTGGGGGGTATGCAGCTAAAGGTTATCCAATTCTTTTCATCCAGGTCCTAAAACAATCATTACTAAATAAAATAAACAGCGCTGGGCTGGGAGGGGAGGGGGATTTGAGTTTCTTCTGGGTAACCTGGCTCAGATGGCAACTAATGCATAGATATTGGAGGGTTAACCCCAAATTTACACAATGGAAAGTAAATAGATTTCTAAGTTTGTATATATCTATCAATCTTTCTATCTATCCATCTATATCTATAACCCCCACCCGCAGGTATTACAAGTATTTATCCATTTCAGTACAAAATCTGTACTCAGGGTATTATATATGTCCATCTAACTGTATAATGACCTAAAAAAAAAAGAAAGAGAGAAAGAGAATGATTTTAGATGTCATCATACAGTTAGATGGACATATATAATACCCTGAGTACAGATTTTGTACAGAATTGGATATATACTTGTAATACCTAGAAGTGGGGGGCTGTACACGTTTTGCACACACAGTACCTGTAGTATACATTATTATCCAGAGTTAGATAGATATGTTGTAATATACAGGACCAGAGTTAGATGGTACTTGTAATGCCTGGAGCTCGTAATACATGGCGTTAACGTTGTACTCCAGAATACATAACACATGGGGTACAATTTGTATTCTAGAGATTGGAACACGCCTATGATACCTGGGCTGATGTTTTATTATAGAGGAATACATGTGATACCTGGGCTGATGTTTTATTATAGAGGAATACATGTGATACCTGGGCTGATGTTTTATTACAGAGGAATACATGTGACACCTGGGTGATGTTTTTATTATAGAGTCATTATAGAGGAATACATGTGATACCTGGGCTGATGTTTTATTACAGAGGAATACATGTGATACCTGAGGTGATGTTTTATTACAGAGGAATACATGTGATACCTGGGGTGATGTTTTATTACAGAGGAATACATGTGATACCTGGGCTGATGTTTTATTACAGAGGAATACATGTGATACCTGAGGTGATGTTTTATTACAGAGGAATACATGTGATACCTGGGCTGATGTTTTATTACAGAGGAATACATGTGATACCTGAGTGATGTTTTTATTATAGAGGAATACATGTGATACCTGGGCTGATGTTTTATTATAGAGGAATACATGTGATACCTGGGCTGATGTTTTATTATAGAGGAGTCATTATAGAGGAATACATGTGATACCTGGGCTGATGTTTTATTACAGAGGAATACATGTGATACCTGGTGATGTTTTTATTATAGAGGAGTCAATATAGAGGAATACATGTGATACCTGGGCTGATGTTTTATTACAGAGGAATACATGTGATACCTGGGCTGATGTTTTATTACAGAAGAATACATGTGATACCTGGGGTGATGTTTTATTATAGAGGAGTCATTATAGAGGAATACATGTGATACCTGCGCTGATGTTTTATTACAGAGGACTACATGTGATACCTGGGCTGTTGTTTTATTACAGAGGAATACATGTGATACCTGGGGTGATGTTTTATTATAGAGGAATACATGTGATACCTGGGCTGAGGTTTTTATTATAGAGGCATCATTATAGAGGAATACATGTGATACCTGGGCTGATGTTTTATTACAGAGGAATACATATGATACCTGGGATGATGTTTTATTATAGAGGAATGCATGTGATACCTGGGCTGATGTTTTTATTACAGAAGAATGCATGTGATACCTGGGCTGATGTTTTATTACAGAGGAATACATGTGATACCTGGGCTGATGTTTTATTACAGAAGAATGCATGTGATACCTGGGCTGATGTTTTATTACAGAGGAATACATGTGATACCTGGGGTGATGTTTTATTATAGAGGAATACATGTGATACCTGGGCTGATGTTTTATGATAGAGGAATACATGTGATACCTGGGCTGAGGTTTCTATTATAGAGGAATCATTATAGAGGAAATACATGTGATACCTGGGCTGATGTTTTATTACAGAGGAATACATGTGATACCTGGGCTGATGTTTTATTATAGAGGAATACATGTGATACCTGGGCTGATGTTTTATGATAGAGGAATACATGTGATACCTGGGCTGAGGTTTCTATTATAGAGGAATCATTATAGAGGAATACATGTGATTACCTGGGCTGATGTTTTATTACAGAGGAATACATGTGATATCTGGGCTGATGTTTTATGATAGAGGAATACATGTGATACCTGGGCTGAGGTTTTATTATAGAAGAATACATCTGATACCTGGGCTGATGTTTTATTACAGAGGAATACATGTGATACCTAGGGTGATGTTTTTATTATAGAGGAATACATGTGATACCTGGGCTGAGGTTTTATTATAGAAGAATACATCTGATACCTGGGCTGATGTTTTATTATAGAGGAATACATGTAATACCTGGGCTGATGTTTTATAACAGAAGAATACATGTGATACCTGGGCTGATGTTTTATTATAGAGGAATACATGTGATACCTGGGCTGATGTTTTATTATAGAAGAATACATCTGATACCTGGGCTAATGTTTTATTACAGAGGAATACATGTGATACCTAGGGTGATGTTTTATTATAGAGGAATACATGTGATACCTAGGGTGATGTTTTATTATAGAGGAATACATGTGATACCTGGGATGAGGTTTTATTATAGAGGAATACATGTGATACCTGGGCTGATATTTTATTACAGAGGAATACATGTGATACCTGGGCTGAGGTTTTATTATAAAGGAATACATGTGATACCTGGGCTGAGGTTTTATTACAGAAGAATACATGTGATACCTGGGCTGATTTTTTTTATAGAGGAATACATGTGATACCTGGGCTGATGTTTTATTACAGAGGAATACATGTGATACCTGGGCTGATGTTTTATTACAGAGGAATACATGTGATACCTGGGCTGATTTTTTATTACAGAGGAATACATGTGATACCTGGGCTGATGTTTTATTACAGAGGAATACATGTGATACCTGGGCTGAGGTTTTTATTATAGAGGGATCATTATAGAGGAATACATGTGATACCTGGGCTGATGTTTTATTATAGAGGGATACATGTGATACCTGGGGTGATGTTTTTACTATGGAGGAATACATGTGATACCTGTGCTGCTGTTTTATTACAGAGGAATACATGTGATACCTGGGCTGATGTTTTATTATAGAGGAATACATGTGATACCTGGGCTGATGTTTTATTATAGAGGAATACATATGATACCTGGGGTGATGTTTTATTACAGTTAGATCCATTGATCCAAGCAGCTCCCAATGCAGTCTAGAAGTACACAGATAGAATTGGGTTTTGTAGCCCAACATTTTCAGATGTTCTCTGACAAATGGTGTGTGG